TTGAGGGTATTTGCAATAAGTGATCAATCATCATCAGTTAGATTATGAAACTAAAAGGTGCCCGAATGCATTTGCAATGGGACCACTCGGCGGTTAAAAAAAAACAGTCGAATTCCAATACATATCAATTAGATAAGATTTTTCTCAATGCATCTTTGTGCATTGTCACACATAATACAAACCTTTAAAAAAGTAACTGAAAGTTATTTACCTTAGACTGAGTGTCGTTCTAACTCCACTTCCAAGCACAATCCTCAGTTCCTACAGACAACCATACACTCGGGAAGCATCGGACTGGAGTTTCGCTCTAAGAAAAGCTCATCGGTAATGCTTACCTACTATCCCGTCCGGACTTTGAACTCTAGAACCACTGCATGGAGTTAACAGGTATTCCACTGTCTTCCTTCGCTGCTGTATGGCTCCAACTTGAACTGACTATTTTTGAAGACAACAGCTGAACAAAGATGAATTGGCCGCTCGGTTCAACCCCGTTGTGCGCTGGTTGACACGATGGTAACACACACTTGTTCTGTGCGACGGGTTCGGAGTTCAAAGTCCAGGCGGGACGGTGGATATGCATTACTGACAAGCTCTAACGAGAGAGAAACTTAAGTCTAGTGCTTCCGAAGCGTATGATTGACTGTATGCATTGGCGATTTTGCGTGGATATTTAATCTGAACGATAGGCATTCACAACGAACAAGACAAGTATATCAATATACAACAGCATTTAGTGTTTGCGTATTGTTGTTGTGGGGCATGTGTGCAAAACTTGATTGTGTTTGGCGCAAGTGAACAAGGGTGAGGCATATGAGGAGCTAAGGTACTATCTACGTCGACTATTTCCGATTTGGTTCATAGAAGCACGATGAATGCTCCTTTTCAAAGGAGTCCACAAAAGCGATCCAACTTCATGAACGAGAGAAAATGCATAAGCCTCCAGGGCTGCACATTCACCAACCAGGTGGTTATTTCTAAGACTTTTTCAGATAAAATGCGCGTTCATACATCTGTGAAGACGGGCTATCTACTCGTTTGTGTATCCATGTTCTGCAAGCTGCATGGGTAGCACAACCAAGTATTTTTGCACAGACACTCAAGTAGCACAAACCAGTCTGGTTGACCACTTTTGCAAGGAACACTATGTTTGTGGTGCATTTGTGGAGCATTTGACGGAATCTGCTAACTCAAAGCAGAAGATAGGCTTGTTTTCTGCGTTGGGTTTTAGTCCGGATAATTACCGCTTCCAAGATTTTGTACCATCTTTTTTCCGAAAATTCAGTTTCAGTCACTTTCATCTCACTAGATTCATTATTGTACCACAAAGATAGAACGTGGTAACTCAAAATATCTGTTCAGTTCATCTTCAGTTAAAAATGAAAATAACTTCGATAAAGTAATCATAATTTTGGACACGCTTTGACCTGTGCCACAGTTCCAGCCAATCATAGCCCCGTCTTATGTTCAATTAACACAGAGGGATATGAGTATATGTTATTGGATCAATTACTAGTCATTATTGAACAAATGGACAATTCGAATTGAGTCAGTTTGTATGCCTATCGGTCTCAGCCCAAATTGAATCTACAAGCTATTTCATTGAGGTGTACGAAAGTTAAATTATGAAGAACACCCTACCACCACCAGTTACGCGAAATCCCCGAAAATCCGTCNNNCCACCATATGTACAGCTGAAAAGCAAACCTCTGGTTGGTGTGTTTGTGAAGCCTAATCGGCCTGCCAGTTTTTGATTTGTGAAAAGTGCAGTAGTCTTGGTGAAATTCCAGCCCACGCATGAATGCCAACAAACAAGCACAACTAATGTCCCACTTTTTATAAAGCAGACCCCTCCCCCTGTTAGTTTCTAGTGCCGAATCTAGGCTATAAATAGGTTACAAAAAACGATGATGAGAGATCAGCTAACATCTGATAGGCAGTATTTTGTTTTAGATTTTTAAGTGACTTTGAAGTCAATCACATTGCAACACTGTGCCTCCCCCTGATACATCTTAAAGAAAACTGATCGACCGATTAGGTTTCACAAACACACCAACCAGAGGTTTGCTTTTCAGCTGTACATATGGTGGTAGTTTCATGAATTAGGTTCCAACCATTCACTGGAATTATGGCTCGTGGCAAAAATTAGGAGACAGTTATTACTTCGACGGATTTTCGGGGATTTCGCGTAACTGGTGGTGGTAGGGTGTTCTTCATAATTTAACTTTCGTACACCTCAATGAAATAGCTTGTAGATTCAATTTGGGTTGAGATTGATAGGCATAGGGAGAAATTTGTCATTTGATTTATGACCCAAGGGTATTTTGAGCAAATCCGGTGCTGATCTACGAGATCTCTCTGTGTCAAAACGAGAAGAACAACGGAACAGTGATCCCGGAACTAATTTTGGTGTATTGTATTGATATTTCTCATACAGATAGGATTTGTCAATAGGAACCCTATGAATTCAATAAGTAACGTTGAAATTTCACTCAAGTTGATAAAATCCAAACCTTTTTCCTTTTTGGACATTAGGGTTATTTCCCTTCATAAAGCCAGTTAAATAATGTCTCAAATATCAGCTTCCTCTAACGGGTTTGATAGTCCTCACATTTTGATTGCATTTAGTCATTGTGTTTTAACTTGTACTGAAAAAAATGACCTTGTTACTTAGAAAAGCACGATAATTTAGAGATTTTAAAATGGAATTTCTTATGAAATAAGAATTTGAAATGCACAATTCACTTTCGATTCTCCGAATCTCGGTCAATTAGTTGAATCCTTGTCATAGTTTTAGCCGGAACTCTACCCGTTCCCCGTCAAGCTTTAACGAAAATCCACAATTCTTAGCCTCGGACCACAGTCCCTCAGCCTCATCTCACAGCTACGACCTAAAGTTTCTCATTCACAACTCTCAAACATAAGCCCTACCGCTGTAAGTGAATCAGATCAGAAAGTATCAAAGTATTTTGAGAACAGTGAATTTAGATATTATTTCCTACGAATCTTGATGTCGCAAATCTTAGTGAACAAGTGAGTTGGTGTGACGCTCATTCGTTGCACAACTGACCGGTGGAATTGTGTCTAAAGTTTTCATGTGAACAGACTGATGACACTAATGGAGTGTATCTGGTGTCAACTGTTCATTTTCGTCGAACTATCCCTATTTGAATGAAGCTAAAAAGCGGTAATCTTTTTTTTTAAATTTTTTGTTAGTCGGTAATGGGGCTTTTAAAACATACAGTGAATGGTGGCACCAATGTTTGTACCTTACTCGAAATTTTTCGAATCTACAATGTGGCAAGGAGAGCCCCTAATGTTTCGCCAACGGAGAACAACGACGGAGAGTAACTGATTATGCATATAGATGTCGTGATTTGTCACACGTTGCTAAATACCGTGGTAAAAGATGCCAAAACATCCTGGGCTATTGGAGCGGTACTCAAATCGGAATCTGACCTGGTGAAGTTCAATGACANTGCGGTGTTGTCGACAGAAACCAAACAAACGGATTTAGGCAGCTAAAGAAGAGGACTGAGAAGGTCTTCTCAGGCACATCCATCAGCAAGAAATCCACTGATCGATTGCATGATGGACATTGCCATGTGGTCAAGAAGCTCATCACTCAGCACGTGGAACGAAACTCCGCGACTATCAACTTCGAAAAGGCGGCATATACCGATTGAATACAGCGATTCTCTAACGTAACGTTGAGCTTTTTAACTGATGAGACCGATTACTTGATATGGTGCTGTCTAAACTACTTACGATTCACATTGACCTGTATAGCGGTTCACAGTATCCAGTTCAGTAAAAGACCTAACTTGAATGTAATCGTTTGTTCATCTATCCCCGGTATCTTGAAGAATAAAAACCGCACAAATATTATTTGGTAAATGTTTAATGGGTTTTTATCAAGCTCTTCGACGTCGATCGCAACTGAGTTTTCATGTTTTCCAGTTAATTTAACTCTTACAATGCGCCCGTACATCTTGGCGTTTGGGATGCATAATAGCAAACCAACCACCATACCTCCTGATTTGTTCGCCAAACTTTCCAACATTAGCCCTTGTAACAACACGATTTTTTTAACATTTGTTGCTCTCAAAATATTCTAATATGTTCCGATCTGACTCGCCTATAGAGACTTGAGTGAAGTTTGTGCTTTGAAGTTAAAGGGCTATGGATGGTGGTTATAGAATGGTGGGTTTCGGCGGAAGACTGAAGTGAAAAGTGTAGTAAACTATGCTGCTTTCCGCTAAATGTATAGCATATTCAGACTGCATTTTCTCTGCTTTTCACACATTGTAATTCGTTGTAACCTAAACAATCTCAAATCTCTTTTAGGAACACAATCAAACCGTCAATTAAACTCATACGGCCAATCAGTTTGCCTGAATTATAGGAACGATAGAAGTCGTTTGCTTTCAAATTGAACGGTGTCCTGAACATCGTCCTATACCCCAATTTAAACAGTCTGGCGAGACCCGTTCCGAGATTTCCGTCGAGCGTCTGGTTGCTTATTCTTACTTAGAAAAGTTCTCCCAGCGGGTGCAGAAAATCAATTCATAGAATGAGAATTTCATTTGACAGAACATCTATACCTGAGATAGTTTGTACATGATCGTTGTCGCAAACAACCTTCCGCTGCTGTGATTCCACCAATTGACGAAATATGCGTATGTCATACTTTTCTGTATCTGTTTCTCCAACTGAAGGGTTTGCCCAGCAGTTTATAGACACGAGTGGGAAAAGAATCTATTGAAAATTCAACTACCGTACTGTTCTTTTGGAAAAATGATTGGATTCCATTTGTCTGGTTATGGCAATTTCAATTTCACCTATGTAGCCGAACCGAACTTCACATAATAAAGTCACTCACCAGCAATACACACAAATACCGGGTGCTTCGCAGGGAATACAAATGGGACATCTTTATTTTCTCTGTCTCTCTGTCCACATATTTGGTTCTGTCAATATGTTGAAATAGGTATCGTGTCAAATCACAATTGTTCACCGGATTGATTTTTAGCATTTCGAAACGAAAAAATCGTGGCTCCTGTCATGATGAGGATGAAAGATACAAAATAGAGATAGTGAAACTGCACATGAAATAGCCAAATCCCTGCCAGCAGGGCCCACAGATCGGCAGTGAGTAGAGACAGATTGACAAACACAGCACTGATTCGCTGAATCACGAAAGCCATAATCGAGTCCATTGTGAACATACAAATCGAGTAGCCCAGATAGTAGGCTAGCGCGATCATCGGTATACGTTGCCCTCTCAAGTGCCCCGTGTATACCAGTTCGGACAGATTTGAATGTTCCAATATTGAACCATAAAACGTACAGAAAAGTGCAGCAGCGATAGAGAACCATGTTAGATAATTGCAGGGGCCAAATCGATTAGTCACATATTCTTGAAGCGCACTGGATATTCCGTAAAGGACCGCTCCCAGCACGGCAAACATGTCCCCGATAATCACATCGGTCCGGTCCGGATTTATGCTCGCATTGACTATCCCGGTTCTCACCATGTTCTGACGTTTGGATGTTAAAACATCCGCACCAATCATTAGCATTGCTCCGGTAAGACAGATTACTGCACCCACATAGTGTGTCCATGAGTATCGATATCTGAGTAAAAAGTGGCTGAGTAACATCGCGGTGGGAATACCCAGGCAATCGAGCAATTGAATGCTGGTCACGTTTGTATATGCATATGCAGCCAGAGTGGCCCAAAGAGCGTGTAAATCAATACAACCAGCAATTGTGTAACATATTGCAGGCCCAAACCGGGTTAGACAGCCTGACACTTCCTCGGTCGTCAGCTCTGTACCATTTGCCCTCAGATGTCTGTTTCGTGAGACTAATTGAACTGCACCGTATAAAAGGAACAAAAGCAAATAATGAGGAAGATTTTGTATCAGAGGCAGATTAAATCCTTCGCGAGATAGCAACGCAGCGCACACAGCACTCGCTCCAAGTAATCCCGCCAGCAGTTGACCGACAAATAACGATAAACACAGGTGCTTTATATTCCCGTATATGTGCTTAAATGTGGTAGGTTTGGGAAGCTTCGGGTCAAACATACCCAAGTCAAACTGCTTCGTATCACCATCCTGGTCAGAAAGAATTTTCTCCTTATCTTCCATCTTTCCAATTAAACGATCTGATCTGGATAAGGTCAACCCAGTGGCAGAACTCTAGAGACCAGCATTCAATCACCGTACGGTATTCCTCGTTGTATGCGGGTCAATTGACTGTTCTATTTCATTTTTCTCATTCACAGCCATAAATTTCGTTCTGAGCACATTGCCTTATCCACCAATCAGAATGTGCTTCTCCAGCACATACACATACACGCGCACAAGAATTTGAAATAGCCGATGAGGAAGCGAGCATATTTAACCAATCGAATTGACAAATGGCATTCTACATAAGCCACTTAAAAAAATTTCACGCATATGTACATTGTGCATATATATAAATGAACGTGTGCGTGTACGCTTGTGGCCGAAAATACCTGTCTGAGAATGCATTTACAATGATATTCGGATTAAAATTGGTCCTCCAATAGCGCTACTCGAGCACGATTTGATTACCATACATTGTTCTCAACATGTCACCGCGTTCTATAGCTTGATTCGGTCAGTCCTGAATACTTCTATCGAACACGTGTACTTTTGTTTGATACATTGTGGTAAACCACATTCTAGTTACGAAGGTCAGGAAGATTTGCACCCGGTATTTTGTATAAATCGACTGCCTACACATTTATGTTATTCGAGTTCACATGATTCTTAAAACAATAAAGGTAGTCCGTTATCCAATGAGAATGTGTGAATTAGGGGGTGCACACCTCGAGATTGATCGATTGGTTCAAAAGTAGAGGCGGTCGTCGGCAAAGTCCAGGGTGCCGAACTCTACGCAAAAATGATACTATGTATCAGACGTTTACTTGGAAATTCCATATCTAACTGTGTTGTGTCTCACCAAACCTGACCCCGTAATGTCCATTCCAGTGATGCTAGTTAAAAGATAGTTCCCAGCAGTGCAAACTTTATTGGTAGTGTCAACCAAACGTGGATCGAGAAAGGGAGAAGGCTTAGGTATGTATGGGATTGATCACAGTCTGGTTATTTGCTCGGATTAGGGGTTACGAGGGCACCGATGGAGAGAATGCACAAAACAGGTTGCCGCCATCTGTCCGTTACCAGCACGATACCTATCCAGCACCCTAGAGAAAATGCCTACATTATCCCACGGCGACGGCCGATCCTAATCCGTTTCGCACTCAAACCGTGAGAATTCTCAGGGGAAGGTTAGATTTCATCTGAAATCTCTTCTTTTGAGGTGTACGTCCAAATTTTGGGGTTGACTTGCAGTTTCGTGGTTTGTGTCTATTTCCTGTTTTCCTTGTCAAAACTGACGGTTTCCATTTTGACATGTTTTGTTGTACTTCACTTGGCTTTGATGACCTCAGAATACTGAAGGTATCCAACAACATATTGAAGGATAGTTGTTGACGTTGAATTCTTTTTTCATGAAATTTCGTTGGCTTAAAATGATTTGCGTGACGCAAAAAGACCTTCGACTGGGCTTGTACCTCATACAGTCCATCTCGTCTTCTTCACAGGATTCTGCCAGTCACCCAGTGGGAATCGCAGCTTCCATAGTGCTTGAAGCTATCCAAAAGCCTTTCCACTTGGCCGTACGATTGCCGATGGAAAGGCGGAGAGCAGATGTGATGGATTTGGCTCTGTTCAGCAGCTGTAGTTAATAACCTATCATGCAGTCCAGCATCAATCCGGACTGTTTCTCGTCGATTGAACGAAGGAGGAATTTAATAATCGGGGTGCATTTATTTTCTTTCAATGACTGAAGGTAACCCGAAGCAGTTTTTTGAGTAGGCTTGAGCTGTGTGTGTTTGGGGACGAGCAATGGAAACCGATCATTTGGACTGTTGAATTGTTATTGCTGTTAGTCAAACGCGATCGTTGGAGGCGTGCCTGGAAATATACTTCTGAAAATAACAGAAGTGTTATGATAATAAATAATATTAATAATAAAATAAATATCCTCAAATGCGATGGAAATGTTTGTGATGACCGACACAGAGAACGGAGTAGCTGTTTCGTCCTGCTTGGGACTCGTCAGTAGTGTGTACGCTTTGTGTCCCTGTCAGGACTCGAACCGCGAAACTTCAAACTCTTACCTCTGAGCTACACGGTCGACAGACATCACGCTGTACGAATGGCTCAATCAATTTAGAGTATCAAGCTTGAATTAGCCCATTCGATTGTTCGGAGGCATCAAGCACTCTTGATGGTCTTGGGTGCGGGTTTCACTCCTTGACAGGGACACAAAAAGTACGCACTGCTGACAAGTCCCAAAAAGGACGAAGCAGCTGTCCAATGCCCTTTGTCCTCTATCACAAACATTTCCATCCAGTTTGAATGCATTCAACTAGTGGAGAATTAATGAACTCCCAAGGAGTGAAACCCACACCCAAGACCACCAAGAGTGCCTGGTGCCTCGGAACAATCGAATGGTCTGTTCCAAGCTTGATAATTTAAAATAAATGCATTTTCACTTCCTCTTCTGCTTATTGATTATACAAATGTGTAGTCAACTTTCAGGAAGGAGGCTGTGGCCAAAGCTTGCCTGGGAAACCACACAAATGGAAGTGACGGACAGCGGTGGAGCGCTTCGAACCCGTTACTATAGGTCACAACTTGACCACCACCCCTGATGAGAGCAACATGGCACCACCATGTAAGTTTAGTATGTTTCTAGGGTTCCACCTGATGAAGTATGTTGGTTCATTGCACTGAAATAAAACCAGGTGAGGACCTACGCCTCGCAGTCTCAAAGGTGCTAATAAACAGCTAACATTTTTGTGCAGTCAAACTCTCCAGGACCAATTCGAGAATACTGTAGCTGAAAAAGACAAATGCTAAAGTGAAATACGGAATACCGGCACTAAGGCCTACAGAACGATTTTCTTTTACTACTTCTGAAGCAGCCGAATTCCTAAAAGTCCAGTTCTATGAAGTGTTCACTGCGGGTGACAAGTCGGATTACAGCTTCCATACCTTCTGCCAAGTGTCCCATTCCCCTAATTGACTAGCTAACTTCAAATCGGGAACAGTAGAAACCGAACTATTAGCACTTCTCAGGAATTCATTTCCAGGGGAAGACGACATCCGCCCACAGACCCTGATGTCCTTGGCAAATCACACATGAAATAGTTGTCCATTTATACCAAAGAATGTTCGACAAGACGACGATCCCTTAATCCTGGAAACACGGCATCATTTCACCTTTTAAGAAGGTAGCTCCAGAATTGATCCTGCAAAATACCGACCGGTTACGCTTCTTCCTGTTCTGTCAAAAGTAATGGAATCGATTATTGCTGAATCTCTCTCCGATGGAGCATTTCGAAAAGTATAACATTCAATCGCCGGCCCAGCAAGGGTTTCGAAGGAAACGCTTGTCCACCACAAACGTGTTACTCAAACGAGAGGAATGGACAAGATCAGTCGACACAGGAGAGGTATTAGACGTAGTCTAAGTAGACTTCTCCAAAACTTTTGACAGGGTTAACCACCGTATACTGCTACGAAAGTTCCATAACCACGGTGTTTGAGGACCGCTCCTTGGCTGAATTGAAGAACTTTTTAGACAACTTACTGTATCGGTTCTAGTTAATGGTTCTCTATCGGGACTGATTGAAACGGACCGTGGAGTGTTTTTGGATCATTCGAAGCAGACCTATTACCCCGATTGTTGTCAGCACAGATTAGACCACACACCGAGTATGCTATGCAGGCTTAGAATCCATGGCTAGTTCACGACCAAAAGGCACTCGAACGTCCACAGAGAACAGTAACCAAAATGGCGAAAGGGATACAATCTGCAGCCTACGATGAAGGGCTGCAAATTCTCGGACTCTATTCGTCTGAATACCGTCGAATGCGGAGGGACATGATTCTCGTACATCAAATACTACAACAACCCAACCACTCGTGTAGTACTCTACTAACACTATCCAGGAATGGCCACCTCAGATGAAATCCGTTTCAACTTTTGCTCCAAAAGTGCCGGCTCGACTGCAGGCGTCATTCTTTCAGCCTCAGAGTTTGTAATACCTGTAACTCTCTTTCACCTCAAGTTGTTTGTGCACCAACCATCGATTCATTTAAGTCACGGATGAATGAAGCAATGAAACACCTACTTTTTCAGCACCCGTGAGTGAACGTCAGAATTTGCTGTTTAATTGTACTACCAACCGAAACCAGTGTGTACAAATCCTATGGTATTCAGTATGCATCAGCTTTGTAATTTATCTAAAATAAAAAAATTGAATTTGAGTTAACAAGTTCTGGACCAATACTTTTCGAGTGCATAATATTTAATTCGTACGTTTTCTTTCATTTGGCCAATCTTTGCTTGAGTAGCCTTTTTCCTGCACCTCGGTGTCAGCGCGTTTTATGGCTGAACACATTTTTCGACTTCTGTAAAACCTCCAGATTTTCTCACAGATACAAACAGCGCCAGCCTGTTGCCAACTTCACACGGAGGTAAGCCGAAATTGTCGCCGGATTGCTTAATTGAGTTTGTGTAATCCCAAGTACCCACAAGACGTCCTCAGAACTCTGATGTTGATTGAGACCTGTCCAACAGTGATCTACGAGATTAACTTGCTGTTTTGTACAGTCCGTCCGGAAAAACGGGCACATGAAATTCACTTAACCAAGCATCAGATCAAAGGTGTTCTGTACATGGTTATGCCATGGATGAGCCGATGTCACAACATTTTATGTACATACGCTTTTATTCACTCCAGTCATGATTGCCTGACAGTTAATTGTGGTCTCGAATGATCTCAGCGACAATTTGACATCGGATTTCCGTAGGAATTTGGTTTCACTTGGGTACCATGATTTGTTTGACACGCAGTCTGAACTCAGACGTGTGTGAATTGTTAATAAAACTACCATTTGGGTGGGGGGAGGTGTTGAGGAAAGAGGATAATGACATTCGGATAACGCAGTATTCGTGACTCACGATTTGTGGGGCATTCATGAAAGGAGGGTAGTTGGGCGCAACCATGCAATCATCAAAGTGGAACAAGGCTGTTCAAGTGTTA